TTGAGCACATCGAGCGTAAATTGTTGGTATCTACTTTCCGCTTCTAACTGCTGCTGCAGAATTCTCTTGAACAAATCCTCCTCCCTTTTGCGGCTGTCTTCTAAAAATTCCCGCAAAATAGCGATCATGCTGAGATCGTCTTGCCTACTTTGAGTCATTTTCACTGGTCTTGGGTTCTTCCTGGGCTTTTTCCGGGTAGGTAAGAAATCACTGAGTGTGTTGTGCCAGTGAGGTCTTTTAACGCCCGATACTAGCGTCTCTTCCAAGGGGCTGTCTTCTTCAGATGATTCTTCGTCGCTGGGAGCATTCTGAGATGCTGTGAGCCCCGGTGTGGGTGTGGTGCCCTCTGTGTACACCTGCATCTGTACCTGCCCCACGTGATTGGCTATGGGGGCATTCAGGGGCGTGATCGGGGGTGCTGGTGCGATGGGGCGCAAGGCTTTGGGTGTGGTGTTATCTGGTGGCAGTGTAATCAGACTTGCAGCAGGGGAAGCGGTAACAACCGTTGCTGAACTCATACTGGCATCACACATTTCCAATGGAATGTTGATTCGCACTACATCATCGTGATTAAATGGCGCTCCTTTGTTGGCAATAATTTCCTTTAAGATATCGTGATATGGAAATGAATGTGGCAGTTGGTCCTTTGTTCTGTTGTATTCTGCCAGCAGATTCTTTATTCGTACTTTACACTGATTGCCTGTTCTGGGACCTAGTGAGCAATGAGCGACCCGCCGGTTAAATTCTCTAGCGATCATATTCCACTCTTGGTAGTTCCGTTTCTTGCCTTTGATCAAACGGTAATTTGCCCTCCATAAACTCAACAGTGTCATTGTTTCTGTATCAGACCACCGTGACGAGTTCACTGTTCCCCCAGCGTCTTCCATACTTGCCGCTTCCAAAGGTTTTGAGACCATTGCCTGTTGCTGTTGTTGGGGGGTCACCTCAATGTGAACAACAGTACTCTTCTCCCCCTCCCCTAGGGTCATCGTACTTGTGTGGGAATCGGCTGTCGCCATGGCAACCGTCCTTAGGCTGTTGAGAAAAAATTGAGCACGTGTTACAGTCTAACCTCTCCTTACGGACACCTCTCTATTACGGAAAGTTCGTTTGGTCCCAGAAATGCCAAAAATCATACATTCCCTACCTCTATAATACGGACACCTCCGTAAAGCGGACACTTGGTTCTGTCCCTTTGGTGTCTATATAGAGGTGTTTTACTCCTGCAATATGTTGACGACCGTACGGTTGGAAAAGACGAAATCCTCTTATGTAAGGCGTCTGGTTTAAAGCGTTTGACTTAGGAATGATCCTTCTGGAACGCATTTCAAGAGAAGAGAATGCCAGAAGATCTGACACCACTTGCTGCACTGAAAGGACCACAGGCTTTACAGCCTAAATGGGATTATTGTGCATCCATTATAGCCATCGTGGCTGTTGACCATAAAAGAATTGGTGAAGCATAAATTTTGGATTTTTTAGGTGGTACCTATGGAAATGAACTACACGTTTTCCATTACTAGGGTGCTGTTTTTGGGTGATTGGACATTTGCTTAAGTTTCTTATTCGACTAAGTACATTAAGAGTTTCCCTCCCCGCTATCAGCACCCTGCGGTAGCAGAGTAGGCTATCAGAAGCTTCCTCTGCAAATATCCTTAGTTCACTGAGAGGTTGGTCGACGCGATTTGACCTTTGTCTACAGTCCGGCGGTGCCATTTTATTTCAGGTATTTTAAATCCGGTTAAACTTTATTTCACAAATGTGACGTCTTGCCAAGTTGATTTTTTTGACATAAAAAAGTAATTTGTAACTTTAATGCAATACAGTCACTTTGTATACCGTATTATTATTGTTTGGACGGTAAAGTCAAACTTGCTTTTCTTGCAACAAACACTTCACTGAAAGTACGTGAACACTTTCGGGCCATAATTTGAAACTTACCACTTTCCAGCCTCTGCCTCCCGTTACGATCTTTATCACACATTATCTCGGCAAAAATTAATTATCCCCCTTTTAATAGAAAGTGACCAGCTTTCTCTTTTGAATACTTACCCCAATACTACTGTGACCCATTGCGCCTAAATTCTCTCTTCAGAAATTTTAATTTACTTACACTGCTAATTTCATTTTACTGGTAATCTAGAAGCAACTCTAGTTCGAGAAAGATTGAATTATAAGTCGGCACATTTTAGACCACGAAATTTAATAAACTCTATGACACTGTCCGCCCCTTAAGCCACGGTGGATTTTAGCCAAAATTAACTAAGTGTAACTTATACCGTCAAGTATAGTACGAGTCGGAGGTTTCGAAAAAGCATTGAAGGGCTGTAAAGGAAAGCACGCCTTTATATTACGAGGGCCAAGAAAACTCAGAAACTACAAAACAAAAAGAACTCACGGAAACATAAGAAATTAAAAACTGTCACTTGATTTGTCTTTGAAGGAAAGCGAAAGCTTTCTTTTATGTAAATCAATAGATATAGACTTTCGATCCAAAATTACCGCTTCGAAAGCGACTTCCCTCTGTTTCTGGTATTAAAAACATCTCCGAATTCAGTTTATTCAATTTCTTAGATCGCTATATTTGTAACTGCTTCGAAAGGAATCCATGCTTTCTCGGTCGATTGCGAATTCAGATGATGTAAACAGCATTGAATCCGACGTTGCAAGTAAATGATTAAAATATTACGAATGGATGCTAATTCCGGATTCGAGCTTGTCTAAACCTTTATTCTAATAAATAAGTCGCTTTTGGCTGTTTATACGTTAGTAAATTAAATTATACTTACAAAAAGTCGTTTCTGTCGTTTATTTGTTTCGTGTGGCTGTGTTATCTGCCAGAAAGCGATCTTCTTTCCTTACGAGTGTTCGATTGAATTCGATTCCCGTCGCGCTCAAACCAACAACAGAATCGAAGCTCGCTGGAGTCGATTGATCGACTAATCTTCCCAATTTCTCAGTTTGCACTTGCCCGGTGTAAATCTTCTTCGATAGTAAATCACAAAGAGATAGATTTTCTAGGATTCTTCGAAGTAATTCAAGTCACCAGATTAAATCTTTATCCGCCGAAAGCGTTCCTCTGTTTTTCCCGTCTTCATTCAAGCTGGCTGCCTTGCATGTGTCGATCAATATCTGAACAATGACCTTTTGTTTTTGTTATGACGTGAACCAGATCCGCCGCGCCGATCAGTGATTTGATTTCACTTGTAACGCTTGCGTGTATGACTCGCGCGTAATTTTTCGGTGGAATTAAAAACGGTGATAGAAATCAATAAGTTGAAGAAAAATATCAAAGGACGAATAACTATCACCGTCCCACAAGCTTTTCTAGCTCCTGATGAAGGTTAGTTCTGCTTAACCGAAATATTGGGCAGATAAATTACTCATCCATAGTATAGCTGTCCAATCAGCCTTGCCTTCAATACCAACAACTTGTTCCGACAGTGCAACTTAAAAAACACGATGATACTTATGGTAGATATAGAAGACCGACTGTGAACGAAACGTTACGTGTTAGTGTTACACTAACAGAACTCTCTGTCTCCAAAATTCTCAAATAAAGTTAACTTTTTTACCGCTTGTTTATTTCTTTAAAAAATATCTACAGTGATGTGCAATTTCCTTAACGTTTTTCTTTGCACATTGTGAATTGATTTCCTCTCTTTTTTATTTCTTCTTCTTCTCCCTCTTTCTTCTCTTTTTTTTTTTTGCGTTTGGTTTAAAAGAAATCTCTGACATGGCTGCCACAGGTCAGGAAATGGTCGGGGAAAAATTTCTTCAAGGTCAGGGAAAAGTCAGGGAATTTCACTTTGAGTCAGGGAAAAGTGAAATTTTGAGAGAACATGTGTACTCTTTTTCCTCTATACGTTTACTGTTTTCTAACATTTAAAATTCTTCTGTACATTTTACAGACATGAATCGTTTTGTACATGTATTGGTAGAATATTTTTCGTGAAAATGAACGACAAGCCGATGTTGGCTTTTCGAGAACATCTTCAATTTTTTGTACGTTATGTTAACGAACTTCAATTCATGTACGCTGCATGCGTCTTGCTTTTAAAAAGCATAAATAAATGGGTGGAGAGGATGGTTGTGAGGAAAGGGTTGAGTCCATTATCATGACTAATGTATGAAATTGTTAATTCCGTTGGTCAGGTAAATTTTACATTTGTCGGGAAAAAGTCAGGGAATTTCAGAAACCTCAGGCTGTGGCAACCATGTCTGAAGTCGTCAAGGCGGTGATAACTATCCAAATTTATTTGTGGATATTGTAACGACACTTGCCATCTCTGTATTGAAGTTTATAGAATTACTTCTCCTGTCGGCTACTGGTTCATTCTTCCATGCCTTCACACTGAGCGATATTCAAAGTCAGAGGCTTTTCACACAAATGCTCTTTGGGATAAAGCATAATATCTAGCTAGTATATCTGTATTGAAGCCCGGTCTGGGATGGTTTACTCTGATACGTGTATATTAACTACATGGGCAATAAGTGTAACGTAGACCATGGCCTACCGGCTTGACTTATTTGCTTAAAGTTGGTTGTTTTATAAAGATGAGTGTTTTCTTTTCTGTGCTTTATACCCTCTTGACACTCTTCAAACTTATAAACAGCTTACAGATTCTAGGAAAGGCCAAACTGAAAATGACTTTCAACGTGGTTTGTTTTTTCTAAACACACCCAAAGTTGTACAAGTACTCCTCTCTCTCCCTCCCTGTGAGAGAGAGTGTGGAGAAGGGAAGAAGTTACTCCTTGGTTAATACGCTACAACTGAATATATTGTACAGTACAAACCAACAAGTACAAGAACCTGGGTTTTTAAAAGAACCTGTTTGGCTAAAATTTGCCGGTTAGTCCCCTCTATACAAGGACCTGTTAACGGGCTAAAATTTTGAAGCGCAGGTTCTTTTTTTCTGAAATCTAAAAAAATGTTTACACTTGGGCAAATAAGATAAATTAACATGTGGGACCCTCTTTGGAGACATCAGTGTTTTATCACTCCAACTGCAATGCACTTCTTATTGTAGTCATTTTTACATAATTACTTATTTGGTATACTGACTCATACATGTGGAATAGGCTGGACAGCGCTACATTCTCTTACCTGCGTTGTAACGTTTTTCTTCCGAAAGTACGAAAATATTCAAGAGCCTAATTGGCCTTGTTTGCTAGTTACCAAGAACCTGTTTATGCTAACGTGGGAAAATTTAGGTTCTTCCTCGTGGGGTAGTACTGGTGTACTCTACATTAACATGTTTGATCTTATGCGTGTATTTTTCCTGTAGATAATTGTACAAATTCCCTTATTGCCGAGGCTCATCATTTTCGGGTGCTTGGAGAAGATCAGGTTTGTAGTGTTGTACAAAGTAGTTTTCATGTGAATTTTAAAATAACATTAGCTCATTATCCCCCTCTCCCCGCCAGCGCTCAGATTTGCGAGCATTGAATGCGACTTAAAGCTTTACCGAAATGAACGAAGTCGATAGAAGGATGAGGTCACACAGGAATCGAACTCTGGACCTCTCGCACAAACAGAAGGTGGCGAACTATTAAACTAACTGTACCAATTCTTGCTTCTGAAATCAGAACCATCATTGTGTATTTAGAATTTTAACATATGATCTGAGTACTTCTCTTGTTGCAGTATAACCGTTATCAAACATTTGGGACCGAGGAATATGTTCTAAGTATGGGTGGTGTGTTGTGCCCAGGTCGCGGTTGTGGAAATGGACTGTTGCCCGAGCGAGGAATGCGATCTGTTAGGTGTAATGTTTGCAGTGTAAGTCTAGATAACGTTTGATTTCCTGGATGCTTGTTGTAATGTTAACGCTCCTCATAAAATGCTAACATCGCATTTGCGATGCTCGAGCCAAGCAAACAAATAGAAACAGATCAGGTTGAAAGACATCAAATATACCGACCATACATTAAAAATCAAGTACAATCCTGCCATCTTTATTATCATCATCATCATCGCCATCAGACAGTCATCGCCTCGGCAAAAAACTGGTCAGCAGCAAATACTTGGAGAAACCGGCCTGCAATATATGAAATTCATAATATTCTTCATTTCATGTCAATAATTCATCTTTCCCGGGTATATTACCAACCAAATGACCAGCTCCTAGTTGGCTCGCTAATTCAATTTGTTAGAGTGCTGCACTGTTATCACAGAGGTCATTAGTGTTCAGACCCCGGCAAGACTGACTTTTTTCAGTCTTTCTTTTCTTAATGATCTACTTCACATTTTCGAATTCCATTATTTAATATGACATTCGTATTCATTTCAGCTGAATTTTTGTAAAGAATGCAAGGAACCCTTTCAGCAAGGACACTCTTGTCATCAGAATCAATCAGCTTCTGCTTCTACCGCCAGACAAAGTGTAAGTCAAGTGCATTCTTTACTTTTTTGACTTGACAGTTTCACTGTGCACAAATTATTGGCTAAGCCGCGAGGAGAATGAGGTGCAAACTTCACTGCTGCTCGTTTGTTCGCGAAGCGTGCGTTTTCGTAGCTTTTCCCCCTCGCTAAACAAACCAGCTCAGGCAACTGTTTTTTAAATGTGTGAGCAACAAAGAATAGAGAGCTGATTTCCTTGCAAAATAGTCACTTCTTATCTTCATTCAAATTATAAAAGGAAAATGTGAGAGTGTACAGACGATTTTTGTTATAGGGGCAACTTTGAATGTTCAGTTCTGACTTGCTTCTGTTTCCTCAGAGATATCAGGTAAACGCCGAAAATGCTAGACGCGCGCGCTGGGAGGCTGAGGCCCAGCAAGTCATCCAGAGAATCAGCAAGAAGTGTCCCGGATGTCAGACAAATACGGAGAAAAATGGTAAGTAACCAGTATCAATACGATTCTTCCTTTGTTTTGTCTGGCTTAGCTGCTGGTGTTATCTTACTGACATAGAGACGGTGATCAGTAACTTAATGAACATTCAGACGTCGAAAGAACATAGGAGTACTAGTAATCTCTTGAAATCGGTTCCTGAGTATAACGAATGGTTTTAGAGAAATCCTCTGTTAAGAACTCGAAATTTATCCGTAAAATGTATGGCTCATTAACGTTTTTGTCACCAAAGGCAATTTCGCAGTTTTTGGTGGCTGCTGTTTCCATTGATATTTCCTGCAAAGAGCTTAAGTTTGGTTTGTATGCAGCTTATCTTCTAGTGAGTCAGGTGTTACTTCCCGGTATAGCCCTTCCCTTCCCAACTTACAATGCTACTTCCTGTTACGCCGGTTCTTTTCCTGTGGGACCAAGGGTTCTATATTGTACGTATAGAAATAAAGAGATCTAAGGAGAGCTGTTCCGATGCTCAAATACAACTTCATGGTCAGTGTGAGGCTGTGAGCTTGGTACTTTTGATCGTTCTCCGAACCCCCCACTCCTTGTAAAGCTGTTAATCGTTTTCATAGACTTATCACATTTAATTGTCTACTTCTTTTGCTGAGTTTTATCGCTGAAAGCGAACATTATAATGAATTTTTGAAGGGAAGCTTGGCAGAAGAGGGAGAATACAAAACTGCTAAGGGGAGTAACTGATTCTTTAGTTAGATCACACCCCTGCTCAATATACTTTACGTTATTGCCCGGTATTTTTCGGTCAAGTTGGCTGGATACTCTTGTACTGCAAACGCGTTTTGAAGGAAATTCCGCTCCCACCCGGCTGCAACAACTCCTTCTATTAGCGACACTAGCTAGCGATCCCGAGTGACCCCATGATAACGAGAGTTGGTTGTGATAAGCTTAGCCTGCATGTGTACAGCTGCCTCCTCCAGTCAAACAAATTTAGAGAACTTAAGCGACGATCACGGCGACGGCTATAAAAACGTCACTTAAAAAGTGAAGTCGCGCTGCCTCAAACTTTATCACACTTATTCCATCTCGTTTAACTCGTCAAATGTTGGCAAACTTCTTTGGAGTTGAATTCTGAAAGTTTGTATCAAAATTCGGGAAAAGAGAAAGAAAATTGTTGTTTTGTGTCTCCTGTTCTCGACAAAACGTGAAATTAGGCATTTTCACGTTGTAGTCGTGCAACTACGGTAAAGAAATGTACAAAAAAGCGTGATGCACGTGCAAAGTTGTTAAAAAAGTTGTTTTGCCAAT